GTCCTACAACACTGCGGACTTCTGTGGTGCTCCCCTCTGGGAGCTAGGTCCTGACTCACAGCCTTCCTGCAGTGACTGTATGTTCATTTTCCAGTACGCATTTCCTGCAAGGAGGCCCATGAGGGGCAGTTAATATTTTTAAGTACTCAGTTCTTTTCTACGAGGCTTGTTCTGGATTGGTATGAATTCTTACTGCGTTAAGAGTACGCCCTAGATTCCATTGACTACGTTTGTGTCACCCATGTGGTGAGGCACTGTTAAAATGCTTTCAGTAGGCCAGCCTTAGTACCCCTCCCCCCCTTTTTTTCTTTAAATTCAAGGGCATGAATTGCTCATTTTGAATGATTTTTTAAAAAATTAGGAGAGTGAGAAAATAGCATGTGTGTGAAGGCTCTACAGAAGCGTATACATCTGTTTCGAAGCACAGAAGTGCAGACCGAGTCCCTAAAACAATTGTGGTGTTTATAACTCTTTCCATTCTGACTGTGCAAAAGAGAAATTTGCCAAAATAGCCACTGTGTGAAAAATACCAGAAAGTTCCATTTCCAAATCTGAAGTCAGCTGTTCTTTGCAAAGCCAGGGTGGCAGAACTGCAGAGCAGGTCTTCCTCCACTAAAGTAGCAGCTTGTGAGTATTTGGATTCTGTGAGTCACTGGAGGAAAGACCATCCCCAAGGGTGGTTGACTGACCAGCTTAATGGAAAGGAAACCCACTAAATGTGAGGAAACAGGAAGAAACTGGTTCTTGTACTCTTTCTCCAGACGTTCACTTCTGGCCACAGTTGCAGACAAGACACCAGCATTGATGAACCTTTTGCTTGACAGGTAAGAGCTGCTCTTGCAGGACCACTGTGTGCAAGAACGTAAATGTGACCAAGCTCCCTTATGTGCCATGAAGCTGGGAGACAAGAAAGCAGCAAAGACCTTCACTAAGGTAAGACATATATAAAAAAGCATCTTTTTGATCCAATCAGAGCTCTGGCTGCAGTTTCTGAATTCCTGTGACTTAGCAAGAACATTGAGAAAATTGCCCCCCCCCCCAAGTCTGAGTGCTTTATCACTATGCAAAATGATGTGAGCCTTGAGAAGGAAGTGTTCCTCCATACTAACTGTCCCACACATGAACTAGCCAAACTGTTTAAAGCTTAATTAAAAATTGCCAGAATGGCTAAATTCTTTTCTAAGTGCAGCTGCAAAATGTTAGCTGTGGGCATATTTTAGACCTTAATTAGTAACACTTGCACTGGAGGACCAGAATCTTTCATGAATGCAGCTGTGATCAATTAATATCAGTTAGGCATTTCTGTAGGCAGTACAGGGGTCTCCTGAAACTTGTTTTAGTGCCCACCTAGATAAAAAAAAAAAACCCCAAACCAATTCATATGTAACAAACTACAAAATCAAAGATCACTACAAAGTGTCTTTATTGAAAAAAAAGCAGATTATAGCATCTAACGTTAAATGAAACTTCTGACTTTAATATTAAATAACTTAGAATGATAGGAAGTAGCTTCTTCTTTAGATAAATAAATCTACATTTCCCAATTTTTTTCTTCAACAATCAAGGGAATCAAACACTGAAACACAAAACCACAAGTAATTCTAAAGACTAAGACAGAAGCACATTGAAAGGTTTTACAAAGATATATATATATACAAAAATAGTTAAACTAATGTATATTTTCAGCATGTAAACTAGTTACATGATATACAAACTGGGAATTTATATATTTCCTACAAAATAAAAATCAACGTTGGTCCAAGTTCTTGGAAGAAAACTATATTCTTTTAAAGAAAATGAAAATATTTCTTAAATGAAAACTTAATTTAAGTCAAATCATATACTCTAGTTACGGCATTAGTTACAGGATGAATCACAAACTTTGAAACTTTTCTTGAAACACAAGAAAGCAGCTTTTGTCTCCTTTAGAGCTTTGGTTTACTTTACTACTCTGGAATTTCTGGTCTTAAAGAGCTCCTCTAACCATGTTTTTCTTTTGAAGCTCCACCTTACAAAATACATACACACACGTGCACACAAGTTAAAGGAAAACGAAAGAGACCCAAACAAACCCTCTTTGAAAGCTCAATTATCTGAGTGCATTCTTGTTTTGTTTCACGTTATTATTTTGGTCCTTTCTTTGGAAGTGTCCTCCAGTGCATGAGGGACTCTTGAATTGCCTACAACAGCTTTGTGCTGTAGGGACTTTGTAACATTCATTACCAAAATGGAAAGATGTTGTCCTGATGCAAATGAGAACAAGTTGTTATTGTTTTAACTTTATGGAAATAATCTGAAAATACAGCAAAGGCTTCTGAAGAACAATCACATCATAAAATGAACTATAGAAAGTTTACATCTGCGTTGAACTGATTTAACATAAGAATACCCTTTATGAAAATCATTAAAGAGAAGCTTTTGCATTTATATAATTATCTAGACAGGAGGTAAAATATGCAGAAACTGTCACTAGCACGAAAGAGTACAGCACATCATTATTTCAGATTTGCTTTTATTTTTCTCTTTGATTGGAAAAAACCTAAAAAAAACCCAACTGGCAAATTTCACTCAAGCTCATTTTTATACTAGAAGTTGGAAAAGCAAAGCTGTACTTTGTTATATAGTAATGGAATGCACTTGTCTATAGAAAATACTGGAATAACAACTGCTGCTTTCTCATTTTAAACAAATTGCTTACTCTATATTGAAGTATTGATGATACTTAACACAACAGAACTGAGAACTACAAGAGACTGACAAATTAACATGTGAAATGAAATAAAATATTATTCTGTTCTACCATATGATTGTTTTCAAAAAAGAAGAAAAGGTATGGTATGTACATGTTAGCTAGTGTGCTGTCCCTTGAAAACTATGTTGCAGTGAAAACTTAAACTTGCCACTTAATTTGGGTCCCTTAATATATGTTGTAAAGACAAGCAAGTGAAAATGCTTCAAAGCTAAATGTGGTCCAAAGCAGCTTTCTTACATGGAAAAAGTATTACATTGCAGCTGATGCTAAAAGTGTATCCTGAAGCTCTGATATCTTCCATGTTTGTAATAATCTTGAAGAACTTAACTGCTAATACAATCCAATTAAGGCAATTCTTTTCCTTTTTCTAGCATTTGCTGTCTGGGCAAGAGGCACATGTACTTCCATTTCCTTCTGAGGCTGGGCTGGTGATTATGAACACAGAGGTAACATTTGCAAATGCAGAAAAAGTGTGCGTGCACCCAATGTCCTCTCTTTTGCAGGCTTCTTAGGCCAAACTGTAGAAATGAGGCACTAGTTGCACTGTAGTTACTTCAAAACATGTCTATCACGTTAAATATGCTAATTATAAACTGATATATATTAATTAGAAAATGCCTTTTTAAAGGAGCATCTGACTTGCCAAGGAGCATTCAATAGGACAGGTTAATCTAGGCCAATGAAAGTTTGACAAAAGTTCAGGAAACATACCTTTGTTCCTTACTAAGAGTAAAAAAACAAAGTTCACAGGAATTGTTCCTGCCCCTCCCTTTCCCCCTTAAGGAAATTCCAGACTATCAAAAAAGTTCTGTTAAGGGAGTTAATTATTCCACCTAGGAATTAGTGTCCATTGGATGTTCTTTGTACTTTTTGAGAGGGGCTTTCAGAAAGTCAATGGAGCATAAGCAACTAAACAGCAATGGTGTTACCAAATAAGTAATTTCATCAGTCTGCATGCTGACTTGAACATGGGATCATTTCTGAATGGATCCATCAAATTCTCGATGTGTTGAGAACTGGCATGGAAATGTCCCAATTTACAGATGTGGAGAATCTGGTCTGCAATTTCCACTTCCTCTGGAGCAGAATAATTTTATTTTATTGTAATTTTGGGTACAGTTGAAGACAGCAATGATGGACTTACTTAAAAGAGAAATTCAGGAAGGCTAGATTAATTCTCATGAGAATGCAGGAAATTTTTTTAAACATACAGATGTGTGATTTGCATGTAAATCATCAACACATGGTAGAAAACAAACCATAAAAAAGATTCATCTAACTTCCTATATGGAAGACATATATTTCCCCAGAGCTCTGAGGTTACCGTAAGAGCTTATGCAAAACATGAAAGTGTGTACATTCTATGTACATCTAATACTTGTTATAAAATACCAATGTTTCAATGGTCTGACTCTAGATTATTATTTGTTAAACTGTACTTTTTTTTCCAATGAAGACAATCACTGTAATCCCTTCAAAAGTACATCTAGAAAAGAACACAAAGCTGAAAAGATAATACAAAAACCACTGTCCCCTCTTTTTTTAATAATGTATCAACATACAATCATAAAGCAGTTGGTAACAAATGAAGTCTTGTATGAAAGAAGTAGTATAAATATAAGTGTACCTTTGCATAGAAAGGGGCAGCTAACCCTATTAAACAAAAAACAGCCTTGAAAGATGAATTCTTTAGTAAGTGCCAAATCAAGTTGATATGAATGCATTTTGAAACCGTGGCTACGGTCGTACATGGCAAGCAATTACAGAGGTCTATAACTTTCTTCAACTGTTATGACCATTCATGTGCCAATCTTTTGGATATAATCCTCTACAATGTAGTTTTTGAGAGATGCTTGCCATCTTTCTTCAACACATCTTTGGATGACTGTGGAACCTTGTAGGATATAAAGCTGGCCTGATGCTACCTTAGAGTATTTAACCCCTGCTGAAAACTGTCCTTACTAAAAACACTTGTTCGCTTCCTGTTATCTACTTTTGGGCATCTAAGTTTTAAAAAATGTAAGCCTGTATTCTCCAAGACCAGAATTCAACAAAGCTAGCTAAAATCCTAGCATTTATCTTATCAAGTTTGCTGCAATATGGTAAGGTGCTAACTTTTGGAAAGTAATTCAACACTCCTTACTTGGGTGAAATCTCACTGGAATAAACTGAGTAGGGAGTGCAGAACAGCCCTTTGTACCATTGCTTTTAGAAATGCTGCCACTTACAGTTACAGTTTAGTGCTGAATTATTTGTTCAAGTAGATGGCATCTTGGTGAAAACATCTAGATAAAAGAATGCATATGTATAAGATTAAAAAAGGACCCCTCACCTCTGATTTAAAAAATAAATAGCTGGTTTAGATGGTTATTACTGGAATCTCATCTTTAAAGGAAAGGAAAGTAATTTTTAGATTTTTGTCTTCTCTTTCAAACGGCTTATTGGTAATGGAAATGTCTTTCAGAGTTCTGTGACATGCATTGGATAGCTCGGAGGCGGATGTGATGGCAGTTTAATATTAAGGCGCCTGATATGACAGCTGTGGCAGAGCAAGTGGCCGTCTAATGGGTAACAACGATGGCCTTCCTCATCATTCAGCTGCAAGCCACAATCCTAGAAGAAACATATACATCCCATGTTAGTGAGTGATTCAGGTATGTCATCGCACAAGTGTTGACCTACCCTGCCTCTGAAGCCAGCACCCTCAAGGGAGTTTTCAGCAGGTGGACCATGACTATTTTGTATTAAGCAAAATGACATTGCTGAAATCAAACTGGACAGTCTATAATAGCATCCAGCATTTTTTTTCCCTGTTGCTTTCCATTCTGTTCTCTTATCTAATAAATGTTGATGCAAATCAAACGAAGAAAAGCCCAACCTAAAACCAGGCCAAGGACTGACCCTGACACATACAATCTGGAAGAGGTTAGGAATGAGAAAGAGCCAATTCTGCAACAAGGCAGAAAGCAAGAAATGGGGGAGCGTAAGTGGACGAAATGGGTGAACAGCAGTGGAGGAATAGAGATAAAAAGAAGAATAACAAACAATGATCCTGCCTATTATGTATGCTGCAATAAAGACAATTCTGGTTTTCAGTTGCCATCATTATTATTTGGACATATAGGTCATTTTAGTATTGAAAACTGATGCAAAGTTTTTAATTGGACACATGCAGTTTTAGAATGGGGGTCTATTGATCTGTAAACCTACTTAAACCTTTCAGCATAACTTAAGTGGTTACACAAGAAAGAGATCATACAGAAAAGCAGCAAAGTTTCAACACTGCCCACTGACCTTTCCATGGCCACCAGCTGGTGACTTTAACAGCATTTCAGAAGTGGCTGGTAAGCTGTCAAGAGCCTTTGCAAAAGTCTCCATGTGAATACCTCAAAATACTGGCACTAACTTTTCTAGCATGATTCTGGGACAGCAGTGACCCACCGCGTACCATTCGAGATCCTGATTTGAGACCATTAGGCAATAACTTACCCCTGTTAACACATGGCTAACCCCTGATTTCTGTACATAAATGCACTCTGCTATTCTGGGCAGATGTGGAGGCAGCTTGATTTGCCTCTAACTGGAAGGAGAATGGGGAAATGAATAATGAAACAGAACTGAATATAAATCCCCATAGGGACATTATAACATAAAGTCAATAGCCTGAGAGAAGGGGAGGGAGCTGTCATCTTAGGTGAAGCCTGCACAAAGCAATAGATGGGGGAAGAAGGAGGAGGGAAATACAGCTGTCCAAAATACTGTAATTTCCCGTACCAATTTCTGGTTAAAATTTAATAGAAAAGGATAGAGTATCAGGTATCTCTGTTGGAAGGAAATAGCTGAGTGGATGGGGTCTTCCTTACATTCAGTTTAATATACTTTCCAAGATGCCCTGAATTTTATTATTTTCTCCCTCAATCAGAAGTCTCTTTGTAAAACTTTTTTGTGCAAAAATACATGGAAGACGCATTGCTGCATTTCTGCCTCTGGTGCTAAGATAGGTAGCATAGTTAGAATCTGTGTGGATATTTTGGGTTGATCCCAAATTAGACAGTTTGTTTCCCTCCTCATGCCTCTGGATGCAGAGCTAGAACTGAACTCAGTTCTTCTCTCCAAAGCTAAAGCATTAATCCCACACTTGATCTGCCCAAGTAAAACTTTAAGTTTTCTGCACAAAAAGAAACTACTCCCCAAAAAGTAACATAGTGGCATCCTATCTCTTTTCTACTAAACCAAAACCCAAACTGATTTGATACTGGGGACTGCAGCACCACTTGCAGACCAGCTAGCACTCATCATTCCCTCTGCCTCCCTTCAGGAGCTGTGGGGCAGAGCCCTACCTGCTCAGGTGTGCAAGAGCCAGTAAGTGCACCTTCGGGTGCAAGACAGGCACCTACCAAGAGGCTGCTAGGTATTAGCAAAGCCTTGCCATGGTGTGGGCTGAACGCTTACCTCGCAGTGATAGCACTCCACATGATAGTCTTTGTCCATTGATACCACCCGAATGGTCTCCTCAGAGCCCTGTTGCGGAAGCAGAAGGAAGGTAAGAGTGGGCTTGTAAGTGGTGTTTTCTCCATCTTCTTTCAGTGCCCAACCTATTGCTGTGCAGAGCTGTTTCCCTAGGGGATCCCTCCTCCTCCTCTGAGCAGGGCTCTGTGACTGCTGGGGGTCTTGTCCCTGGTGCACCAGTGGTTTTGCTGTTAAGGAGCAGCATGGGTGTCTGACATATCTAAGCTGCAGAGGTCATTTGGGAAGTGTGGCCAATACTTCATCCTCAAGGGACAAACTAGTCTTGAGATCAAATAGTTTTCCAAGGGCATCCAGGTTCTGAATGAATTACCAGCCAAAACCTATGATCTGCTGATTGGGTAACTTTTCCTTTTAGACATCCTGGCCTGAGTTTTCCAGGACTAGTATTCCCCTCAACCCATCTGTGCACAGCTATTTTGCACATGCATATGTCACTGTATGTACCCCATAGGGAGTTACATACCAGTCCGGCAGGTGATTAGGTGCACAGGCCAAAACCTCAGCATGAGGGTGGATGCAGTGGAGTTGTGTAATTCCTGGCTGAGCCCCAGGCCCTGCAGAGCAGCCTATACCCTTCTTATAACCTCACAGACTCCCCGATCTGCTCTGAAGCCTCTGAAGACAGAGCTCATTAAATCTCTTGCCTTTCATTGTTTCCAATTCCAGGTGTGGTTTAAAGCATCAGATATGACGTAGACTATGTCTGAGAGAAGCTATGGGCAAGTTAGTACCTGCACTGCTAGACTTGAACTACCTAAGAAACCTTCATGGGAAAGAATGTGGAGCCTATCCTGCTAGCCATCAGATGAGTCAGCAGTAGCACTACTTTTTCTCCCCCCCCCCCCTTTTCCCCCCCCCCCCCTTTTTTTTATTTTTAAGTAATTTTGTAAGACACAAATCCAGTGACATTTACAGAGGGTTTTTCTCCTCACATCTCATCAGCAGAACAAGCAGTTCTGGCTCAGCCTTTATAAGGTTTTTAATTATGTGAGACCTGGCCATGTAACAGAAATAATAATGACAAATGAGGCTAATGTGCAGAGTGATGGAGGTGGGCATGCTGAGAAGCTCTAGCCCTAGGCACAGCAGCTTATAGGATGCAAGCTCTGGCTCTACAAACTTGACAAGAAGAAAAAGAGGGAGGTACTGAGGCCTCTCCTTACAAGTGATCTGGTCAGTGACCTCAGCACTGGGAATTCAGAGAGGGTCCTGCACCCTGAGAGTCTAAGGGAGCACCACTGAAGGCAGGCAGAAAAGGGATGTCTTAATGCAGAAGTCTCATCATGCTAACTATACTGTCAGGATAGGCTGAGGTTGCAAGTGTGTCTTCACCTGGCTACCCTCTTAGCCAACTTTTCTGCTGCCTTCTCCACCCTTGTAAGCAGTTTTATTACATTGCCACCTCAGGACAAGAGATTGTGTGGCCTTCCTACAGGGTCAGGGTAACCCCCAGCTGCCTTTTCAAGTCTGAGCATCTTAACAGATCCACATCAGAAATGCAGATGTAGCAGACAAGGAAAATTGCTACTTGAGCTAATAGGAGATTCTAAAAATAAGCAGGGCTTCTTGGGTTGTTCTTGGAGCCCCAGTCAGAGCTTTCAATTAAATGAGATTTATAACAGCATAATTAAGAGCTGGAAAGCACCCTAAAGATACGAAGTACTAAGCTGCATGAGTAGTATGACTATTACAACCTCTGGGAATGTTTGGAGTGACATTACTCTGAACTGTATTTAATTTAGTATCCGACATAGTATAAATTCTGGAAGAGGGAGGAAAAGCATCAAATGTGTTTTTAGAAAGTGTTCATATGCCAACAGCTGTTTTCTCTAAAGAATTGATGCATGTTAACATGTACCTGTGCTGGTAGGATCGGCTGGTTACAGGAAGCGCATTTTGGTGCAAAAACCCTAGGGTGCAAGAAGAAAGTGTTCAAATCATATTTAAAGCTTCTTCAAAAAGTACAACCAAAAGACCTATTCTAATCATGCCTTGTTTTTAGCAGAATATAGATCCACAGGATTTAAAACTCCTCTAAATGTTTGACGATATTCAGGGAAAAGGAGACCAATGCTAGTCCAGCTTTATTGCTTAGCTCTTCCTGACCACTAGGCTTAGTGAACCCAGCCCTCTTCCCACATATGCTATTTCTTTTACCTTCCTTTACTCAAAGTCATTCAAATTCTTCCAGAGGTTCATTGCTATAACTGCAAAGCACCTCCTGACTTGGGACTGTCACTGACATCAGGAAGCCATAACGGTGCTAAACAGGAGAGGGGTTGATCGTGGCTAGGCTCTACTTAAACCAAACACATCAACTGGTCTTCTTATCTACAGCTGTGTTTTACGACAGTCACTAGGCCAACGCTCAATCTGTCCTTGTAACACTTTGTCACCTTGGTACCAATAGGATTGAGTACTCTTGCAGCATAAGCTGAGTTACTGGTTGACTGAAGCTGGGAGCACATTACCTTTGAATGTAAGCAGCAAGGAGACCAAATGCAATCACTTAAACCACAAAAACTTTTTGTCAGATGAGGTTATAATCATTCTAACACTAGCTGCTCATTACATGTCTACTGTCCAGCCTAGATTAACCTAATTTACACTCACCAGTGTCACGTACTACCAGAAAATCAATTCTTAGGAACAGCCATCAGGAACCTACCATCACTTGCAGAATTACCCCGATCTAATTAGTACTGAAAGTCCTGAAAGAAGTAAGAGAAACAGCCACCAGGAAAGTACATCCTCTGACATTTTCAACCTCACTTGGCCACTGCATGCTGCACTGGGCCCATGAAGTGACCTTTAATATAACTTTAAAATGCTTTACAAATGCCAGCGTGTGAGAGCAGCACTTGAGAGACATCTGAGCAAACAGGAATGACCCTTTTTATCTACAACTTACATAGGCTTATAATTATAAGGTTTATAACTATAAGGCTTATACAGGCTTATAACTATACTAGTAATTTAACTACTATAATTTTTCTAAGCATCAATGGATTTGCATACTTACGTATGGTAATCTTTGACACAGTAAATATTGTTCTCCACATCTACAGTGAAAGGGACTCCATCCAAACACTCGTTACACACCACGCAGCGGAAGCAGCCAGGATGGTATGACTTTCCAAGAGCCTGTAAGATCTTAAGAGGAGGCAAACAGCAAAATAAGCAGATGCCTGGTTACAAGAGATTCAACCCTCATATACTGCTGTGTCTGATTCTTAATAATGACAGTGAGAAAAGCTCTTCAAGATGAAATCACCACTCCACAGATCTGTCAGCAGGAGGCCTTTTAAAACAATCAACTTGCTTATTTCAGTGGGTTTCAGTTGGCTCCCAATAAAGAGAGGGAACTGTGAAAATCAGTCTAACACCCATCAGCCGTAGCTCTGCAGGGCCAGTACTGACAACAGAAATTAAAAACAGCTTCAGAGACCACTTCTTGGAAAATCTGTGGCAGCCAAACACAAGTTATTGGGATACAGAGTTAATTCACAAAACTTAACAGGCTCTGACAGACAGAATCCAAACCAGTCATTACTCAAACTTTAAAATACCAAACCAACCAAATAAATAGGTGTCCCTTCATTAATAAAGGATCCTAATTCACCACTGTTACTGACTGGTTATCACTCAGTCATTCTCTTAAAATTCCATCTGTTTCCATGTGTTTTGATACAGATCCATCCATCTGCCCAGGCTTTTCCCACGCTGACCTTCCCTACTGCATTTTAGCGGTTTCAAGGAAGGGCCTGATGCCATCCGCCTCAGCTACACCACTATAGAACAGATCCCCACCCTCCTGGCATCCTTGTCTATTACTCTCACTGTAACACCGGGACATCAAGGAGGATGCACCAAACCCATGAACAAGCTTCTTGGAAGAGTGAGACATGGTATCATCTTCAGGCAGCTCTCAACAGGTTACAGCACCAACTGCATACATTTCAGGTATAAGAAGTACCTTTGGAAGGTAATTTCAAAAAGTATCTGCTAGCAGAAGTGCTCAGCTGGGAGCTGCTAATAAGCTGGAGATGAAAAATCTCCACAGCCCTATCTCCATGGCCCTGTAGATGAGTCTGAGTAATGATCAAATCAACAGGAAATAAGAAGTGCCATGTAGGAAAACCACACAAAGTCAATTGAATTTAACCTTCCCACCTCTCCTCTCTCCCCCCCTCCCCCCAGATAAAGTCCTATAGTTCAGTTCTGGTTTGCAAGCCTGTTTCTAGCCAGAAATAACTTGCCTGTGTGTGTTGCGATTGAGGCAGCTACGTGACACACACTGTTAACCTGGTGTGTGGTGGTGCAGCCACCCCTTTGCACAGAGCAACTCCTAATTCAACTGCACTTTCAGCCTTGAACAGCTTCTGGTGTGCCCAGGGCTGCGGTGCTGCAGCTCCCTGCTCCTTAGCTGCACATGGGCACCATGGCTGTGCAGGCATGTTTACTGTATGTGTGCTCCCGGGGAGGAACATGAAGGAACTAACCAAACAAGACCGCTTAATTCCTGGAGCTCCCAGAGCTGTTTCCTTTTGTCAGAACACACTTCCAGATGGGAGAAAGGCAGACAAGTACCTGCCAAGCTTTCAGCTATGGAGCTCCACCAACTATGGACTCTTGCCTGGGATTCTGCCATTAAGGGCCAGCGCAAAGCATGCAAGTCAGGATACCCCTCCCAGCACGACAGAACTCTAGAAATTTGCTCTTGGGCTAAAACAAACAATATCCTTGTCCAACCAGTGGTGCCAGGATATGAGCCAGAATCCTTGTTAGTTAAGTCTCTGTTCCAGCTCATACCGAACCTCTGTGTTTGCACCGCAATAGCTACTTCCATTAGGCATACTGAGGTTCACATACCTTTTAAAGAAAGAGGAAAATAGACATGCTACATGATCTGCACTACTTCAGTGTGGAAGCCACTTAATTTTGTTTGGGAACTTCTGATTAGGACAAACAGACTTAATTTTTCCTACTTTCACCTACTGAAATAAATGATGCCAGCAGTATTTAGCTCAACCCACAGCCCTTTGATTCTGACTGCTGTTTCCCTAAAAATGCATTTTAATTGACATGGAGCAAGTGGCAGAAGGTAAATAAAGTAAGCCACATAGCAGGCAACAAACCTTTGGACTATTGATACTGTCCCTCTCCTCTCCAGCCCAGATACCGTCCACTTGACAGAGCTCTTGCTGTTCTGCTGTCTTACAGAGCACACCCTATTTTCCTTTACTGTGTTCTCCCTCAAAGCTGTGCTGTATTTCCCCCCCTTAGTATTAAAATTTTATTTATCTTTTTGGTTTTGAACTGGCATGTAGCAGAACAACAGCCTCCCATGATCTCAGCTAGGAAAGAAGCCCAACTTACTGTACTTCAAGAGTAATAGAGCATGAAGGTATTTTTGTTTATTTACTGCCTCAGTTTCAATTGTTAGATTGAAGGCAGTGAGGACACAATGATAGTCTGACTAGTGAAAAGCAGAATGTCTCACAAGTGCAGTGCCTGAAGTATATGAACAGCAAGCTGCCCCGCGGTTAGGGATTTAGGTCTCTTACCATTTCCATTATGAGGTGTCCACAAACAAAGCACTTGTCCGCTGTTTGCTGAAAACCTGAATACTATTCAAACGACAGAAAAGAGAGGATTATTAGTAGCCACTCCTCTAGCTGCAGAAATACCTTTTAAGTGAGCACTATGCTATTTTCCAGCCTGTGCTATATATATGACAACAAACCATACAATAGCTTTGGGAAACAGCAGAAGCCTTTGCTTTGCTCTTGCAGCATGCTCAGATAACAGCTTGGCTTTCCAGTGCAAGGTTTCCATTGAGACTTCCAATGTAGCAATATTATTTTAAAGTTTGATTTTTATTTTGAAGCCTATTTAGTGAGTTCAGTGTGTTAGAACTCACTTGAATTAACTCTTGGTCAATGTTGTTGGATAAGTAAATAACACAGGACTTACATCCCAACTCCTATTCAAATTAGTGACCTGATGGTTACTAACCTCAGATTTTGACCTACATTTCACTCTTATATGCAGCTAGAAAAATGAAGACAGGCCCAAGGAGGATTTAGCTGCCTCGTGGATACCAAGCATTTTATCCAGGGAAGAATCTAGCAGTCCAGTTGTAGGAGCTGGGGCTCTCTGCACAGTGTGAACAACAGTGAGGTACCTCAGAAAGATGACACAAACCCCAGCCACCAGCTTATGCTCCAGCCTGCAGTGGAAAATGGGAAGGCTGCGCCGGCCTGGCAGCAGAGCTCTCTCAGATGCCAGAGGCACAGCAGCAGGGAGGCACTTTGCCCACTTGGGACCAAAGCTCTGTGTTCCCTGCCCAAGTCGTTTTGACCTTAACTTTGTACTTGCGCCCCCAAAGCAGATCCGGTTTCAGATGCCAAAGTCTGTCTTTAGCCCTGTGTTTAGAAGTGTACGAAAAATACCAAGGTTATCAGGCCAGACAACTGATGTACCAAACAAACCACCCTACAGGCAAGTGGAACTCCAGCCATGTAATTTTGAAACTGGTATTTGCAGTGGCTGAACTTTACCCTCACCCACTGCAGTCCCACATACGCAAAGTGCTGTGTGTTCACTCTTGCCTGCCAGCGGGAAGGGGTGCCCAGTTATTTGTATGGTATTGCAAAGTGATGCTTATTTCAGCAATTAAGGTTGTAGCACAGCTCACCCGAAACGTACTTTAGTTGCACAATATAAAAGAGAGGGAATGGAGAGGATTAGTGTAAACTGGACTCTTCTCCCAGAGCACAGGTTAATTGGCTCAGGCATCTAATGCATCCTCAGAGCCTCGACCCAACAGAGCTTATGGCTTGCTCCATTCCCCCCTTGATTTAGTGAGGATTAACTGTCCCCTCACTTCACAAGCCAGTGGTTCCCCGACTAGAGCTGCCATATGTTTTCCTTTTTATTGGTGTGAGAGCATCACATAGTATTTCTGATCAATACATCGGAGACAAAATTACTGTTGCTATGCAACAGAGTGGTTACGAAGGAGAAGGTCTTGCAGACTGACGGGCCCAGAAAGTCAGTAAATGACAGTATGGCAGCTGTCACAGCTCCAGATTTAGGACACACTGAGTAACACAGCTCATGTAATCCTAAGAAACTGAAACTTCATCAAAAGAGACCAGGGTGCTGAGGAACAAATACAGAGTCAGACAGTCCCAGCTAGCTATTACTACAAGATACCGGTTTGCCTTTTTCTTACAGATGCAGAACAAAAGGCCTCACTGCTTGGGATGTTTCTTGGCTGCACAGTATCTGAGTAACCATCTGGCTAGACTATTTCCTAAGGTTGCAAACTCGAGGGTTACTGGAAACAGGTGGGTAGGTCCAAGTGGCGCAGACAGCAGAAGATTAACAATAGTACAAACCCAGCTAATTCTAAAATCCTGCTGGAATGAATTTACCAGCACCATCTGGCTGTCATTTGATAAGGAATGCAATGAGCATTTACCCAGCTATTGATTAAAAGGGAACATTATTCCCCTAGAACAGAATGGTATAGCGGTCAGAATAATGTCATTTATTGCTAACTAGATTGTCATAAATTACACTGTTTGTCAGAAAGAAAGGTTTTGCTGACACAAAATCACTCTTTATATGACTAACGCTATTAAATTAAAACCATGATTTGTTTTTAACAAGAGAATTGTTATTTGTCAAACACATCCAGAAGTGGATTACCCAATTAAGACTCTGCAAAAGAGCGGTAAGTCTAATAGCAGTGATAACATATTTCATGGGTTCAGGGAGTTGTCCTTTACCACTACACTCTTTTCTGATCACAGTCTCGATCCCAGACAAATAGTGAGATCAGAGTTTTGGATTCATCTCTGATTGTGCTTTAAATCTACTTGGACTGGAACAGAGTAACAGCCTCAGATCCCTGCAGCAGTTTCCTAAATGATGGTAATACTGTGAACACTGGTGGTTAAAGGTAAATAATAAATGATTTTCTCTACTTGTCAACTTCTGCTTTGCAGTGTTTGTTCTTAACTTGGAGACTTCAAACAGGGTTCCTGTGCTAAGTTTTCATTTTAGAAGCAGAGCTTACAAACGAAGTCTTAAAATACTAATTAAAATTGGCAACCTCTGTCTTTGAAGCATTTTATTATTAACCTTCAGAAAACCTGCATGTGCAATGAGAAGTTGTGACTTGCTCCAGACTGCAGGCAAGGCAGAATGTCCTCTTTATTGTCTCTCAGCACACCCAAGAGCCTCCTCAGTGGTGGGTCCCCCAGTGCTTGTGAACTAGGTAATTGCAAGAGAAGAGGAGGTTATGCTCTGCAGACTTGTAGCCTCTTTTATTACTGACATAGTTGGAAGGAGAAAATGAGCTTTCGCACACACCAGCCCTCCCTCAGAACCTGGAGATGTGAGAAACAAATTGAGGGCTGATAGGCAAGAGCCTTGTGGAGAAGCCAACTCACAACTATGCTTCCTGTGCACAGAGTATTTTATATTGCAGTTTCATTTGGGATGTAAGCAGCCCTGGGCTCAGTTCTAGACTTACTCTATAAGGTTTTGTATGTGCCAGGTTTTGGTTTTTTGTTTGGTTTTTTTTTTTTTTTTTTTTTTTTTGTTATTTTCCTTTTTTAATTTTGTTGGCAGACCAGTAAGATGATGTAGACACAGACCAGTCTCAAACTAGACAGAAACGTTCAGAAGTCTACAGACAGTCTGTACCCAGGACAAATAAGTGTAATTTTAAACTTTCCCAAATATTCATTATAGATACTCATTAAACCTATACGAAAACATCGAAAGAAGTTGTTTTAAAAAGAACACCTATGAGATTCAAATCTGAAAGTGAACTATTACCCTCTACTCTCACTTCTGTGACTTAGAAATAAGATGCTAGTTACGATGATGCAAAGAAAACAAGTGCATGTTGAAGACCTGGCATAGTATTTTTCCTGATTTCTTAGTTTGGTCCCAACTGCTTCCTCCCATATTTACCTTGTCCTTGACTTCTCTCGCAGGATAAGAAAATCACACTTCATGTGCATGAATCAAGACTTAGTAATCAAGCTTCCCAATGATAATTATATAAAATAAGACTCTGGGAAACTAAATAAATCTTGAGAAATATGTTAATTATGTTAGAATAGAAGAATAAAAAAATGAAGTAGAAGACTTGGCTGGCTGATCTTTTCTTTGTTTGCTGTCCAATATACTTTGATTATCAAACAGACAAAAAAACTCTCTAATGATTCTGTCCAAGTCTTTGTTTCAATGCAAGAAGAAAACAAGTCCCCTTCTGTCCGGAATATTTAGGCCTCTTAGTGTCCTCCTGTGATAATCTTGGGGTTTATAACTCTTCTGTCTAATGTGCAATATATCCAAAAGAAATTAACAATGAATTTTGAGCATATAATGAACAATTATGCATGGAGGATAATCCGAGTAAGTACTATGAGAAACAATTTCTCCTGTCTGCCCTCAGTCCTGTAACCAAGCCTGGTTGTCTACCCAGAGTCTTTTAAGGTTTGATCTTCTCATCGTGATTTTCTAAAGCAAAAAAAAAATCAGAAAATAGCATGCCTGAAAAAGGCTGCAGGACCCCAGATTTCTACCTTAGGCAACGTCAGGTCTCTGAAAAGACATGTCGCTGCTTCTCCTTCGCATGCCTAACCGTGCCCAAGGAGAGGCTGATGCACTTCCCTGCTGTTACGCACTCAACAAACAAAACCTTCCTCCTGGAAACAGACCCTGGAATCTCATTCAGGCTCGTTTTCTTCTTTGATGAGGATGTTCAAAACCTGCTAAAGGTTTGTGCAAGCAGATCGAGAGAGTTACATTTCAGTAGGTGTGGCAGTTGCTGCCCCGGTAATGGTATGAAGCCGTAAAAACTACAATTCATTGTTACCAGCACTGCAAACTCATCCAGTGTGATTGCTCAGCCTAGACTTGAGATTCCTACTCTTTTATGCTTTAAGGGCTTCTGAGAGGGATGATCAGGAGTTTTTGCCAAAACGCCTCAGGCATTTAATTCTGAAAACTAATTTCTGAATTGGGTGCTATGCTAATAATGTATTCCAACCCCAGGCTGCCTGTAATCCCTCACAGATTCTCTTCTCCTTGGTTTCCCATTAGCGGAGCATCTGTCTTCTCGCTGCTTTATTGTTTGCTCTCTGCATGGGACCCTTAGTACATGGGATGCAACAATGCAAGAAATTCATGGGATCACGTTAAGAGAGGGAGAAAATATCAAATTCAGTTTCATGCAGATGGGTTTTTGCTGTTGTTTCTTTACCCACATATTTAAATGCAATAATTAAACTGAACAGAACAAAATGGGGCCTTCTCAGGCTCAAAGATATGGGAGCCTCATGGCAGGTGGCACAAAGATTAAAGGAAAATAGTCCAGAACTTACTCTTCATCTCACCAAAACCCTTTCATATACCCTGTTGCTTAACCCTGTCTTGCTGCCAGTGAAGAAACACTACTACAGCTTATCTTCTTGCTTCTGCGTTTCCACTTTGTTATGTTTGAAGGACATGGGTCGGGCAAGGAGGGATTTCATGTTCTGCACAGAGGTAACAGTTGGTCTGGCTATGCACAAAACTTTGCCGAAAGTGAGGAATTCAGCTG